TTCTGATCTTGCGGGTCCCAAGACTTTCCTGGCGTCATCCCATGACGCACATGACCCTTGACGATTTATTCTTTCAAGGGGATTTCAGTCCCTGATCTTTTGGTTTTGTCTCACTCTCACCCATACTTGTCTAATCATCAGAGGTGGGATCATTTGAGAGACGCCTGCATGTTTTCAATTTGTTTGTAGGAATTTGTTTGGCACCGGAACTTTGTTTTTTGAAACAGAAGACATGTGATCCAATTTTCGTACGTAGTCGTACTTGCCAGAAAAGCTCTGGGACCTAGGATAAACATTCTGGTCACAGGAGCCAGCAACTTCCAAGCTGCTCTGAAGGTTTTATCTCCTTGATAGGACCCAAAGATGTAGATGATGTATGATGACGTGTACTGTACGAATGTGGCCTGAATAATTGTGTGCCCAGGACTGAGATTGTATCGACCTGTAGTTCGTTCACGGTTGGAATTTAAATGGATTGTCATGTCCGAGAAAAGCCTTTGGGGTGAAGTGTGTGGCATTCTTGCCCAGCAACCTGAAGGGTGGCTGGTATTCCCCAGTAGGTGCGGCTGCGGCTGCTTATCCGTTCCAGTCTTTTGGATCGAAGGTTCCTCGGAGTAGACGAGGATGTTGGAAAAAAACGGTAGGAACTCGATCCAGAGCTCACAATCCGTATCTAATTTGAGCTCACTAAGGTATATATGTCCATAATAGTATGATATATATATATATATATTATATAACTACATTAGATTACGATATAATATTACGTGTGTATATTATATATATATAATTACACAAAGGTATTGTCTTTTAGAACTTAGTGATCCGAGGAACTGAAGGTGCTTGCACACCTTGGACGACGGTGCAGCAACTGCACAGCATGTGTGGTGGAATTGAGCCTACTGAATTGGTGGGACAGTTATTTAGCCGTGACAACGTGACAGGGATATGGGTCAAAATCAATTATAACCCTCCAAAACGACTCGCATTCGACCAACTGTTGTGTGTTGTGGGTCCATTGGTGCCCTTGTTTGACCCAGCCTCACAATGGCACAATCGTTTCGAAATATGTCAGATGGTTGCCCAGGCTAACTGATCCAAGATTCATGGAGCGATGGCGTCTCCAATTTCCGAGCCCATGACGCTGCAGCATTTCATACTTCGGGAGGTTCATAGAGATAACTGGTCAGATATTCTTGAGGAATCATCAGATTTTTTTTTTTAAAGATGTTGTATGATGTTGTATGTCGTATGTACATATCTATTACTAGCTTTCCCAGCAAAGTCTTTGGCGATCAGAACGGAGATCCCAGCTGAGGATTTGAAGGTGAAGGGGGGAGACAGTGTCCATCTCCCAGGGATGCTGAAACGCAGCCGAAGGCTGCATCCCTGGCTTAAAGTTTCAGCTGCAGTATGCTTCACCAGCTTCACCGCATTCCACATTCCAGCTCTGGCATGTCCAGGTCAATTTCAACATCACCTTTCGCTCAAAGAAACGGTGCAATGGGGGGCACAGTTCCAAATTACAGTTCAAAGAAATGACGGACCACCATCCATCCATTGTCGGTTCTTGCGCATAAACAGACCCGACTGACAGCAAACAGATCCAACTGACAGGTGCTTTTGGATTGTTGCATGTGCAAGTCGAGCTTGCGTGCTTCCCGACCTTGGAAGTGTGGGGTCATGTGACAGAAGATCAGTGCCTTGCCGTCCTATCAAGAACGGGAAGGGCAAGGGTCCGGGAGAACAGATACAATATATACAATGGCACACCAGCACTGAAGCATATTGAAGCAGTTGAATCAACTCTCCGGCACCAAAGTACTAGTCGTCTGGTACAAGTAGACTAAGTAGACAGTGACAGCAACTGAGCAACATCTTGACATCTTGACACAATGCTGTATAATGTTGATTAATGTTGTATACATGACATGATTTTCAATATTCACAATTGAACCTTGGTCGATGAGTAGTCATGCTCCGCTTACAGCATTTGCTGTTGCCATGGGCGTCCGTGCGAGGTGGCATGGAATCTAGGGACTCTATGGGACCCTGTCCATCCCGGCATAGCATGGCGCGGGTGATGGGATCCAACCATTTCTGGTCACCGCGTATTCAAGCGGCTCCAACTTGTATAAGCGAAACGAATAAGACGGATGGCTTTTAACTTTTGACCGTATGTCTTATTATTCTTGCGATGATGCGGAATTTGAGCATGTGACCCGTGTCTTTACAGACAATACAAGGACCATGAAAAACCTTCGAAGGGTGATGGATTTCTGATAGATGATTTCTCCCTGATTCTCCACTCAGCTCTTGTCCCAGCTGCACCGGGCAGGAATACCCCACCAGGCAACTGGTCGAGCAGTTGTCTTGTTGATTGCGTTCTGATCTGACAACTTCTCTGGGTGAGTGCGGGTTGCAAACGTGCATAAGAGGTTTCCAAGTGGAACTCATCCGGAGGTCAGTACATATTTTGGCAGAAAGTAAATGAAACAGGGCAAAGCGCGGAGCCAAATTGGCTGTGCCCAGAATAAAAAACGCAAACTGAAGCTGAGTGCTTTTTGATGCTTCAAAACTGAAAAGTCTATCTGTGTTTCGGAGGGGTCACACTGCAGGACCGGCCAGATGCATACCGGAGCCCTACAGCTCTTCTTCATGCGAGGAGGTGCACAAATTGGGATCTTAGATTAGATGGGATTCGCTCTCTGTGCCATCGACAGGTCTTCACTAGCAGAGAGCTACCAACCCCACAGGCGCGGATGGGAAGCGACTGAGTTGACTCTCGGGATTCTTAGCACACTTGAAATTCATATTGATACTAACAATGTCATTTCGTTATCATTTCATATCATCTGATATACGAGCGAGGGAAGGCGAAGCTTCCAGACTATAAAAGCTTTCCCAGGCTAGTTGCTTGCTTTCAATGTTATGAACACAATATACAGTTGAATGTGCTAAGGAAAGCGCTTGTTGTAGCTGCGATCAGATGCTTTCTGCTCAGCCATGTACCATTCCTGCCACAGATATGACGATATGTTTTAATAGCAATAGTACAGGAGAACAATCAGCATCAATCAGCCAATCAGCAACAAGTACAGTTGAACATTTGGAGATGGTCCGTTGTTTCCCTGCTTGAGGATCTGGAGCGTCTCTTGCACCGGGAGGGTTGGATCTACCCAGGATGCAGATGGATGCAGCATGGTGGGATTTGTGCAGCAACGCCTCCTACTAGATGGGCCAGGATACTGCAGGAACCAGAAATGTGAGAAGTATTCATGCATGATGACATGATGTTCTTCGTGTGTCTTTTAGATCGAACCTTTGTTCTTCCTTCCGGACCCTTGTCCGCGCGCACGTTCTTTGATATACTCTAATCATCTCTAATCTGATGCTGCTCTTCCGGCTGCTGGAAGATGACGATTAGAGGAGTGATGTTACACCTGAACCAAATGGCGCCACATCTGTGGCTGAGGTGTGGATACCAGAGAGTGGGGAAAAGGCCCAACGAAGGACTGCTGCAGGGGGACCAGTTACCCGGATGGCGACAGATTCGGCGTTAGCTGAAGATTTTGAAGGTTGCCGATGCAAGCCATCGACCTTCCCCCATGACCTCATGACAGGAAGTCAAGAAGCTTTGGAAAGAGCTGAAAAATGAAGAATCTGGTCTACAGGTACAGCGCACCGGAGGGTTGCTTTTCCAAAATGTCAGCACGCCGTTCCCATGCAGACCCCACTTGCGATCAGTTGGCCTGGCACGTGACATGCAGACCCCACTTCGAATTGGTTTCTAAATCAGAAAGAATTTTGCGAGGTGCACGCTGCATGATTCTGCATGAGCCTGAAAGAGTTTGTGGTGATTGTGGTGCTATGATTTTCACTCATTCGTTTTGGCATGGTGTCGGCTATAAACTGGCTACAAACTAATGAACTAAATGAGAAACTCAGAGATGCCCAAATGGAGGGCTTGGTCCTTGGACCTCCTTGGACCTCCTTGGACCCAGCTCGCAGGTCTGGCGCATGCCCGAAGGGACGCGCCAAGTTGCAGGGTGCCCAAGAGTCCACGGTCCACGGTCGCAGTCATTTTGGGATTGATGGAATCCACACATGGCGACAGGTGAAGATCGGCTGAGACTCTCACCAGATTAAATTATAGATTGCATTAGATTATATAGATAGATTAGATAGATAGATACAAAATAGATGGATGGATGGATGGATGGACGGACGGATGGATGGATAGATGGATTGGACTAGGTCAGCTTATCAGTTGAGACCAGAATGTATACTGTATCATATCAGTTCAGATGAGGTTGATATATATATATGTAATATATACATATATATATATATAAATATTTAAAGTGAAAATGATACATGGATTGAATAGATGGATAGGATTCTTTAGTAAGAGCATCGAACAGCCGAAGACAAATGATATGCCGTTTTCAGCTCACAGCAGGAACCAGTGGCTGTGTTGCACACAGCGTGTTGTTTATCATCAAACCATGCTGTCATTTTGGAAGGGGTGCTTACCTTGGGACAGAGACTCCAACAAACTTCAAGATGTAATCCTAGTGAGTTCCTAGCAGTGCAGAGGAGCAACAGACAGTAGGATGTTGTGAGCTCGTGATGTGTACAGTGTTTGAACACGATTGCATGCACATGTGCAACGTTCAGTCAAGTCCTTTTCTTTTGACACGTTCGTTCCCTGTGTTAGCGGAATGAACCAAGCCATGGAGAGCTTGTGGATGGACCCTGGATTTATCCATCGATCCATCCATCCATCCATCCAAGTTCACTTTGACCCACATTTTGGTCCAGCGCTTGAACTACTGTCGTCACTCACTACCCTCTAACCAGCGAGGGCGATGACCATGCGATGTATCCCATTTCGGTAGAGGCAAGCCAAAGTCACAGCTGACCATGAACAATCTGCGACCCGACTTCTTGAGTGAAGTGACAGCCCTCTTCCTTTTGTGTAAAGGAAGAATGTGAGTCCACAGCACCTTGACACCAAAAACGGATAGATCATGATATATAGATCTTACATGAGGCAACCGGTTGGGATGCTTTGAGCTTCAGCATGCAAGTCGAGCCATTGGCAGGATCAGCATGCCAGCAGATGATGCGAAACTAGATTGCAATTACTCACACAGCAGCTGGACGTGCCGGCAAACTGAGTGAAAGTTCCTCCATAAGAAGTCTGAGGGTCAAAAGATGTCAAAAGACTCTTGGCAAAATCTTGGGGCCCAAGGAATTTCCGAAGCTGAAACCTGCAAAACCAAAACTCAAAAATTGCGAAATGCCCGAGCGATGTTTGTTGTTGGATACTTCTGAGCAGATGCCCAGTACGGTTGACCATGTCCGTGATGAAATCTGATCTTGATGGTTGATAAGTTGATACAAGAAATGCCGAAATTCGTGGTTTTCAACGGGTCTTGATCGCTCCCCGTTTGAGAACTAAGTTTTACTTCCTCACCCCGCGGCCACGAACTCGTGGCCACAAAGTAAATATAGCTTCGGCCCAGAGACAACGATGCTTCAATTGAGACGAATACTTTGGCTGTCGTGAAACAAAAATATGACGTGCAATTTAAATCGGTTTGTGACTGCTTAAAGACCTCTAAAATTTGGCTAGAGCGGGTAGATCTTGCAGAATGGAACCGTTTGAGAAGATAGACGTTCAACCATTTGCACGCCCGCGCCGACTCAGAGATAGCATTGCTGGTTTCGTGACAGAGCATGGCTTGCTTTTCAATGCAGACAGGTCAAGATCTTGAAGTTCTCAAGAGGTTCTCAAGTTGGACAGCTGAAGTATGCAGATCTTGCACCAGTATCTTTCCGGGAGCATTGTCACGTGCCGGAACAAACGACGTGACTTTGGGTCCGTTTATCCCTTTGAACACAGACCTCATCAAACTCGAAGTTGTTTTGTGCTTGATCCAAACCAGTTGGAAAACTGGACTGTTGGTGTGTTCATGCTGTTCGCACCAAAAGGATGGCTTTTCAGTGGGGTGTCTTGAGAGGTTTCCAATAGATCTGGGCGCAAATGACGCCTTCCTTTGCCAAGGGGTTCCCCCTATCATGACACTGGAGGGGAGGCTCCGCCGTCTGAGCTGTCCAGTTGGTGACTTGCATAAGTCAAAGTGAACATTCCCTGTGTCACTTCGCAAGATGTGAAACTTACATCGCATGGGAAGCGGAGTGGCACCAGGGCTCGCGCTTGAAAGTTGCTGGACCATGCAGGAGCATGAGCACCTTGTTCAGTCCTTGAAAGTTTGATAACCCAATCTTTTCTAAGATGATAACATATTTTTGGGCAGTTGCAGGAAGGAAAAAGATGCAGGAACGGACTATCCGGGGTGCGTTTGTTTCGTGTGCTTTCGGACTTAGGCGCAAATCAGTTTGCGCATGTCAAGGCGTCGCCACATTTCATACATCCCATGTTTCTTGTCAGGGCTTGGGGGTTGATCAGCGGGCCAAGATGACAAAAATTGACAAGGTGTAGCATGGTATAGCTGTATAACCAAAATTGCAACCCCAGCATGCTGAACCAAGGTCCGCGTGGCCCACGTGCTACACGCGAAGGCTGGCGTCTACCATGTTTAGCGACTTGCCAAGCCATCATGGACACGTCAAAAATCGTCAAAATATGTCAAAATTATTATGTCGAGACAAGGTTATTCTACAAAGTTCTCCAGGAACACGCTATCACAGAAAGAATTGTGGTCATACTTCTGATACTTTCATTGGTTTTCAGTGTCGGGTGATATTCTGGACGGTGAAGCGATGTTGAAGAATGTTGGAGATTTGTTGGCAATGAATCAGCTTAACATTGTCAATAGCAAGTGTTCGATGTTTCAGCACTTTCTTCAATTTTGCTGCAGTTTGTTCCATTGGGTCGGATCCCATGCAGAGGTTTCATCGGAAGAAAACTATGCCCGGAATATTTTTCTGCATCTCGGGAGAAACATTCAGCACCAGTTTGGAGTAGGGAGGAACGAGGAACGGACGTTCATGGCTGTTTCTTGAAAGGGAGTAAAAATAGAGTGGTTCCGTCTGGTTTGGAATCTATCAATCAACTAAAGATACAATGTGGCTGAAAAGAAGAAACGCAGGTCATTCCAGGTTTTGCGATGCTTCAACCCCTACAGATTTCTTCCAGGATCAATGGGGACGCATTGCTAAATTTGTCCTCGCCTCGCTGAGGTTCAACACCTGGCAGCAAAATAGCAACGGTCAAAAGAAGAACCGATGCAGCAACTCGTCTGACAGTGGGGGGAGAGTGGGCACTGCCAAGGTTTCAAGTTTGTTTTTCTTTTCGTGGTGAATGTGGACCACAGATTTTTGGTTCTGAATCATTCGGAATAAGTTGTGGAAAAGCAACGAGATCTGAAATAACTTGAGCAGGACTAGTGAGTTATAACTCATAACAAAAGGTCCACAACTCACAAGCAAACGTTAGCTGTCAACGCAGTCAATGCAAAGATATACAGAATTCAGACATCCTAGAGCCCTAGGAGAGGGTCAGAAGCATCAAAGGTATACGTACTATACCTTTACTGCAACAGTGTGGCTAATTCCAGCATGACTAAGGCTCGACAGCAAGCTGGTCAAAGGGTACCCAAACACTCCAGTAAGCATGCCCTGCCAACTGCCCTGCCAGCAGTCCCGAAACATGTGGTCTGGGGGTCGGGACGTGTTTGCTCGACGCTGCTTTCCCATCCGCAACAGTCTGCGCGTGTTCGCAACCGTCCAACCGTTCGCAACTGTCCGCGAACGTTCACGATGATTCTGCTAATCATGGCCGTGCCTATGGGGAGTGCTGCAAAGGTGGTCACTTTTGGAGGTTTCAAACGTCGTGTAACGTCGTTTCGTGTGGCAGGCGTGGCACTTTGTGACATTCCGACGTGTTTCACAACGTGTCAAAAATCGTTCTGTGTGACAGGCGCGAAACTTTTGCATCGTTTTCAGGAGATGATTTCAATTTCTCGCGGCAGGCGCAGCACTCTGGATGTGTCCATCTTCGTGGCAGGCACTGCGCTTTAGACGTGTCGTGTGGCGTGCTTTTTGCGAATCGCAGTGCGTCCGTCAAGTGGTGACACTTAAAAGCCACGTTCTACACTTTACACTTTACACTCCGCATCGTGCACTTTTCACCCGGCACTTCGCACTTCAGAATCCTCACTTCATACCCTACACACTACGTACATTCCCCACTCAACACACCACTGTCTTTACACTCCACACGATCCACTCCACCCCATTCCCCACTCCACAGTCTACCACGCTCCACAGTCTACCGGGCTCTACACTCGGCGCTTTACACTTTACTCTTCACACTTTACACTTGGCACTCCACACTGTACACTTTACACTCCAAACTCTACACTGCACTTTATATTCCACACTCTACACTACAGTTTACGCTTCACGCTTTACTCTTGATACTCTACACTCTACACTTTACACTGTACACTCTAACCCTAAGTTTGCCCGCGGCGAATCCCGCAATGCTCACATCCCTGCGTAGAGTTTAAGTTTTTTACCTTCCAAAACAACAAACCCTAAAACCCTAAAACCTAAAACCCCAAACCCTAAATTAAGACCCTAAATCCTGAAAACTTAAAGTCAAAATCACTACGTATAGCAAGTGTTTTCATTCATCCTCTGGTGATAAGTATATCATATTGTTTGGATGTGCTGTTTGAGTGTGGGCGAACCCGAGGTTTGGAGGGAATATCTTTAAACTTTACACTCCACACTTTACACTTTACATTTTACACTTCACACTTCCCACTGTACACTCCACACTCTTCACTCTACACTTCACGCTTTACACTCCACACTTTACACTCCACGCTTTACACTTTGCACTGCGCACTCTACACTCTACACTTTGCACTCCACACCTTACATAGTACACTCCGCACTCTAGACTACACTTTACACTCTATACTTCACACTGTTTACTTTAGAGACTCTCTTACTTTACACTCCACACTACACTCTAGCCTTTACACTTCACACTCCGCACACTCTACGCTCTACGCTCTACGCTCTACACTCTACACTTCACACTCCACACTCTACACTTTACACTTTACACTCCACCCTCTACACTCTAAACCTTACACTTTTCATTCCGCACTTCACACTGCACACCTCACACTCCACACTCCACACTCTGCACTTCACACTCCACACTCTATGGCACAACCTTCACTACTCAAGGTAGGTGCTTCTGTATCCAACCGAAGAAGGTCGGGATCTTGATACCCTCTAATGCACTATCTTGCCTTGAGTTCGGTCAAATCGTTCAACTCTTGTTCGTCAGCTTTTGTTATGACATAGCGCGACTTCAAGATGCACCCTCTCAACTTCGGATCATTTCTCACTGCATCACTCTCCTTTTTGCTCAACACACGCACAGCACCACTTGAAACAAGCTTGTTCAGTTCTTTCAGTTTGGCCTTTTGAAGGCCTGCTTTGTGACATGACTTCAGTTCGTTCTCGAAAACCTCTTTCCTGCCTCGTCTCTTCTCCGTCATGTTTACCTCAAACCCTTCAAATGGCTGCGGCGAAGAACTCCCCTCTTCAGTAAATGGCTGCGGCGGAGATCTACCATGTTGCTGTGCATGCATGTATTGACTGGAGTTCTGATTGCCCGTATTGACAGCTGACTCTACACTCGATTCGACTCGCGCTCTGCGAATCGGACCACCTTGATCTAACAAGTCCAAGTTTGTCCTCATGGCAGTCATCAGTGGCTGATGTGTCCTCACTGGTCCGTACTCAAGTCCCTGCTCATTTCTCACATGACTTCCGACCCCCGGAGGGGCGTTTCTTTCTCGTTCTTGATTGTTGCCCGGAGGCTCTGTCGCGTCGCCGTGCACTGTCTCAGGTTCTTGTTGAGGTTCATCCACACCAGTTCCAAGACTTTGCGGGGGAGTTTCACTTGGGGTAACAGGATTATTTACAGGGGTTTGAGCCGGTGAAGTCGGAGTGTACCCATCATTGTTGACCTCATTTTCTTCCAACCTCGGCCTAACCCTTCTTTCCTCAGCTTCATTCTCTTCTCTCTCTCTCAAGATTCCCTCAAAACCCTGAAACATCTCAGCATCATCATCTTCATTCTTTTCTGGGAGCCTTCAAGAACTGGGGGCTTCTCACGAGTTGACAAGTCGATATAGTTCCCTGACCCTCTCCAATGCATAAGCTTCCTAACACTCAGCAAGTCTTCAGGCAACATTCGAATCAGGGATTCCTGCTCTTGAGACACTTTCCTCAGTTGTTCAGGACTACATTTATACATCTTAGTCCCCTTAGCAACCCAAATCTTAGAATTCCCATCATGGTACCCAATGACAGTGCCCGGCCCGTGCCAACACGCCTTTTTTTCTCTCGGCCACATTCTCCAGAAGTAAACCAAGTCTCCTGGTGCATAGGGTCCTCTCGTGGGTCTAGTTTGGTGATTAACTGCCCTTCGAATCCTGTCCTCCTCATGAGCCTCTATGTACGCCTTCTGAGCAGCTTTTCTGATTTCATGTCTCTTCACTACACTTTACACTGTACACTCTGCACTACACTTTACACTCCACACTGCACACTCTAACCCTTACACTTTACACGCTACACTTCACACTCAACGCTCTGCACTTTACACTTTACACTCCAGACTTTACACGTTGCACTGCGCACTCTACACTTTACACTTTGCACTTCACACTACACTTGACACTCGACACTTTACACTTTACACTTTGGATTCCACACTCAGCATTGTACACTTTACACTTTACACTCCACACTCTAGACTTTACACTCTACACTCTACACTTTGCACTTCACACTCTGCACGTTACACTTTACACTCCACACTCGACACTTTAAACTCGGCACTCTACACTTTACACATCACACTCCACACTTTACACTTGACACTCCACACTTCACACTCCACACTTCACACTCCCCAATCCCCGTTTCACACTTTACACACTACATTCCCCACGCAACACTTCACTGTCTTCACGCTCCCCACACTGTGCACCCCACCCCATTCCTCAGTCCACAGTCTACAGTGGTACGGTAACAGGGGAAAAAATGCACACGATTGTTGAAAGAATTTGTTTCACAAGAGTGTTTTACGTGACTGCATTCGGGTTCGTTGGTTGGTTTCGTTTTCTTTTTAAATTTGCCCCGTGCAAAGTGTGGGGATGAAGAGGGAAGTGAGGAGGCTCTAAAATTGAGTATACACTGTACAAATTCAAAACCAAAGAGGCACGACTCATGGACAGCAATGTAGCCATCCAAGGCACTGGCACTGCACATGCACT